GAAATACAGTCCAGATCAAAACACTGTTAGGTGATCACTCAGCTAATTGGTAAAATCTACAAGTGCTTTTTAAAGAGGTCAATACAAAACATGTGTCTTTTTTTTTTTTTTTTAACACCTACACTGAGGACTCAATGCAATAGAAAGCATGCTGGTTAAATGTGTGTTTGTCACTTCTTGCCTTTTGAAATCTTCCTTTTAAAAAATTAGAATTAAAGATGGTTGGCTTTCCTAATATTCAATAGACAAGTCACAGATCAGCACCATTTGCTTTCATCTGGCCTCACATAAATGAGGCAGTCCTGGATCCCCAAACAGCATCGGCCTCAGCCTAACAGCTTGTCCATCTCTCCCAATCCCTGCTAGTATCTTGGGATGGTTTCAAAAGTGTTAAAAACACTGCTCTGAACGTTCCTCTAGCATCTCGGGTAAGTGTCATATCTTTACCACCTCTTGACTGCCACCAGCATCAGAAACTGCTTGTCTCCCATGGCCTCCAACTCTGGAAAGCCCCCATTGGACAGGACCTCCAGGCCTCCAGCACCCGTCACTGCACCTCAGCCTCATCGTGACCTCAGGCTCAGCCGCAACCCAGCTGCCCCACACCAAAAAGAGCAGATATTCCTGGCTTCACATGCTTTCGAGTTTAGCCTAGACCCTGCAGGTAGTCCACGTCAACAAAGCCAAGTTACTACCAGGGACTGGAACTGAACTCTGCAATGCAGCAGCCATTAGCCCCATGTGGCTATTAGGCACTTGATATGTAGCGAGTCCAAACTGAAATGCACTATCAGCATAAAATACATGCCAGATCCCAAGGACTTAATATGAAAAAAAAATTAAGTATCTTATTGATAATTTTTGTATTGACATGTTGAAATGGTGGTTTTTAAAATACAGAGTTAAATAATATTAAAATGAATTTCTCCTTTTTAATGTGGTTACTAGAAAATATGTGGTTTACATCATATTTCTATTGAGCAGAACTTTTCCAGAATCAGTTGCTGACTAGAACTACTGGAAACAGAATCTGGCTCTCTGGGGCCAGGGACTGGCAAAAATTAGGTGGGTGTCAAGGCCCCATAGAGATGGGATGTGGTGCATGGTATCCCCCAGAGGGGCTAGGCTACCAGGAAGAAAATATAAATCAGAAACCCAGTCCTACAACACCAAATACCTCTTCCCACAGACCAATGGGTGGGAAGGTGGCTTTCTGAGGAAGCAGCTGGCTATATTGGTAATACCTGGCAAATTTTTGTCATTTCAGCTATTAGTGTTCAGTATATAGACCTGATGTAGAGGGGGGAGGGGCGTATGCAGGAAGAAAGCAGAAAGCTCCACGCCCACAGATGACTGACAGTGAAAATGAGAAAGCTGAAAAGGAGAGGCACCATTCCACACCAAATGAATGATGGAGACAGAAGGGTCACTCTGCGGATAATTAATTCCCCCAACTATCCAAAATAACCCCAGGAATCAGGTGAACAAATAGGAACTTGAATATAATGTCAAGAAATCTGAAGTTTCCCTTCTCCTAATATCTGGATAAACCTGTCTCCCTGTCTCCCATTCTATATCCCAGAACCAGACCCTGAGACAGAGGTTAGGCTGCAAGTTTAGTGGGGGGGGGGTGTACTGGATGCTCTGGGGCTCCCTGGGATCCACTATACTGACAGGTACATCCATCTTCAGCTGTCAGTATTGGCTGCCAACACTTCACAGCTGATCTCTCAACAGCTGCCTTTGGTCAAATGGGCACTGCCTCAGCTTGGAGGCTGTATGCTACCATACTACTTCAGGGAAAACCTCAGGAAATGTCTAACTGAAGTGGGGTTCCAAAGGCTGGCCCCCTTACCTGAAGGGGGCACTAACTCTTTGTTACAATTTGTGCTCCAGAAGTTCCCCCAAGGGATTAGGCTGAAGCCAGGCTCCAGCCAGGACTGCATCCTTGTTCACCTCCTTTCCCTGCCCCATTTTACAGCCCTCTCTCCTCTTTCCTGAGGACACTCGTCTGCTAAATCACGTGAACAACACCTTTGTCTCAGGCTTTACTTATAGGGACCTCACTGTGACAGGAGGTGAGGCAAGCATAGGTAGGTGAGTGGGGGGAAGTGAGACAAGGAAGAAGACAATAAAGGTATGTTATCAAGACAGTCACCAACGGAGGTGACTGGAAATCAGTCCTGCGGCAAAACTGGAGGTCAATGTAGAACACAGACCTTTGAGTTATCCCATCCAATGGGCTGGGGTATTTGCACACCAGTTCTCACCAGACATTGGTCAAAAGCTGCCAGGGTACATCAACCTG